GGTCTTGAAAGTGCAACTTACAAATGTAGAATTTGGGGGGGGGGGCGGTTACATAACTGCACTCAAAAACAAAACTGTAAAACTTCAGAGCCTACAAGTCCACTCAGTCCTACTTCTTGTTCAGACAATTGCTAAGACAAACAAGTTTGTTTACATTTACGGGAGATAATGCTGCTGGCTTCTTATTTACAATGTCACCAGAAAGTGAAAAAAGGCATTTGCATTGCACTTTTGTAGCTGGATTGCAAGATATTTACGTGCCAGATATACTAAACATTCGTATGCCCCTTCATACTTCGGCCCCCATTCCATAGGACATGCTTCCATGCTGATGATGCTAGTTAAAAAAATAATGCGTTAATTAAATTTGTGACTGAACTCTTTGGGGGAGAATTGTATGTCCCCTGCTCTGTTTTACCCACATCCTGCCATATATTTCATGTTCTAGCAATCTCGGATGATGACCCAGCACATGTTGTTCATTTTAAGAACCCTTTCACTGCAGATTTCACAAAACATAAAGAAGGTACCAATGTGAGGTTTCTAAAGATAGCTACAGCACTTGACCCAAGGTTTAAGAATCTGAAGTACCTTCCAAAATCTGAGAGGGACGAGGTGTGGAGCATACTTTCAGAAGTCTTAAAAGAGCAACATTCGGATGCGGAAACTACAGAATCTGAACCACCAAAAAAGAAAATCAACCTTTTGCTTGTGGCATCTGACTCAGATAATGAAAATGAACATGCATTGGTCTGCACTGCTTTGGATTGTTATCGAGCAGAGCCTGTCATCGGCATGGATGCATGTCTCCTGGAATGGTGGTTGAAGCATGAAGAGACGTATGAATCTTTAGCGCATCTGGCACATAAATATCTTGTGACGCCGGCTACAACAGTGCCAGGAGAATGCCTCTTCTCACTTTCAGGTGACATTGTAAACAAGAAGCGGGCAGCATTATCTCCTGCAAATGTAAACAAACTTGTTTGTCTGAGCAATTGGCTGAACAAGAAGTAGGACTGAGTGGACTTGCAGGCTCTAAAATTTTTTACATGGTTTTATTTTTGAATGCCGTTTTTTTTATATAATTCTACATTTGTAAGTTCAACTTTCATGATAGAGAGATTGCACTACAGTACTTGTATTAGGTGTATTGAAAAAAACCTATTTCTTTTGTTTTTTACAGTGCAAATACTTGTAATCAAAAATAAAGTGAGCATTGTACACTTTGTATTCTGTGTTGTAATTGAAATCAGTATATTTGAAAGTGTAGAAAATATCCAAAAATATTTAAATGATATTATATTATTGTTTAACAGTGCAATTAATCGTGATTAATTTTTAATCGTGTGATTAATCACGATTAATTTTTAATCACTTGACAGCCCTATAAATAACACTTTCTTATTATAAAAACACTTGTAATAAGTATCAAATTAACTTTTGAATTTGAGAAACAGATGAGGTTGCAAAAATTAAAACTGGAATCAGATGACTCAGAAACTTCCATTGGCTTTCAGAATGTTCATTTTCATGTAGAAGTAAATTCCACGTTGTACAGAAGCAGCAGCATAATCTGGTGGTGATAGAGTTTTGCATGTTTGTGGCCTTGCATATACCTTTAGAGTTTGTCTACACATCATTTTGTAGCCTGCAGGAGTGAGCTTGCTAGCCCAAGTTGGGTGAACAAACTTGGGGGCTAGCAGGGCTCCCATTGGCTCTCTAAAAACAGCTGCAGAGATAATGCTTGGAAGTTGCAGCTCAGGCTGGAGCTTTAGCTCTGAAGCCTATTGAGGGGGCCCAATTAACTTTTAAATGTTAAATCACTGGAATAATTCTGTAGAAGAATTCACTCCTCCACTGTGCACTTCTGCATCCTGTCACTTGTTTCCTTCAAGACATCAACTTACAAAGCTCCTGTTTGGAAAATATGATGCACTTCAGCAAACCAGCAGCACTGTGTTCTTTCTGCTGCCTTTGTGATTTAGAATGTTATATGCTAATCTAGCATTTGGCCCCCCACTCTGAGCTTCCTGCTCTCCTCAAGCAAATGGGTAGATTCTTGTAGTGTTAGGCAAAAAAATTGACGTACTGTTACATTTCTCAGGATTGGAAAACACTGAATGTTGAAATTAAGAACTCAATTTAAAGAAAATTCACTAAATAGTAAGTCGTGAATAGAATGTTACATATTAGACATCATGGTTAGATTGGGAGTTGTGTTCTAGGTAAATTTAAGCCAAATTTCCTTGTTTCTTGAGTTAGAGCTTTGTATGTTGATGTAATATTTTAAAATTATTATTTCTGTAGCACCTTAATTATCCTCAACAGACAAAATAATGATACTTTGGATGCTTACATTTTGCAGATTAAAGAGGACTGTCAAGAAATTTATATTTTAGAAAACAACTTCTAGCTGTGCTACTAACACTTTAAAAAAAAAAAAAATTTATGTTGTCCTTTTGTACTTCACATACTTTGGACAGCATATTCAGACTGATCAGTTTCATTTTCTTTTACTTAACTCTAGCATAATGTTATAATTAGGCTTCCAAGAATGCAGAAAAAAATTATTAGTTTTTAATCATGTTTCATTAAAATATTCTGAATTTTATAGAATCCTTTATAACCCCCTTACATTAGGTTTTTTTTTAAAGGATTTGACAATGTCTGCTGAAATTTCAGGTTGCATATTATAATTCATCTTATTCCTTACTGCTTGTATTGCAGTAGCGTCCTGAACCCCTGAAGAAGATTTGGGGTTCATTTTGTTAGATGTAAACATGAGAAGTCACATTCTTTGCTTTGAAGAACTTTACAGTATACCTTAAGATGCAGTGAGTGTGCTAAATATTTGGCAGGAGGTGGGAGGAAGTATAAGGGTAAAAGCAAGAGGTTCTTGGTTCTGTAGTCTAGCTGTGTGTACAGTTTGATATGAATTCTTTTTTAAATGTACGTGTTCTTTGTTTAAGCAAATAGATATTGTCTATCCCCCTGGTTCTCAGCCTAGCCAGACTAAAGTAGGGTAGACTAAAATAGAGTTGAGGGGATCCTTCTTGTTTCTTAAAATTTAACCTTGTATATTAAAATTTGGTCAAATAATTATATTTGGCCTCCCTGTTATGCAGCAATATAGCTAAATCAGCTAAGGTAAACTGCTGTGTTGACGGAATAGCCTTTAAGCAAAGCTCTTAACTTTAGAATATATTCCAAATTTGCCATGTAACAGGTTTTAGACCATTAGTCATGAAAACCAATGTTAAAATATTTTGGTGTGTATCGAAGTCAAGTGTTTGTAAAACTGGCCAAATTCCGCTTTTTTTTTTTTTTTTTTTTTTTAATAAAAGTTTTATAGTCCACTCCTCTTCCAAGCACTATTAGCTGGACACTTGGCAATTGGCCAATGCAGTCTTTAGAAAAACAGCTTACCAAAATATTTTATCTCCTCTATTTCTGTTGTTTTACCCTACTGGTTTACACTGTTATGTGAAATAATTGGGGTTGGGGCGGGAGAGTTTCTGACACTGTATACTTCTTCATTTCTGTGTAAGTTTAATTGTATTAGTCTGAACCATCCTCTCCTGTCTTTTCTTTCTCTTAAATGTAGTAGTATTTTGTGGGGGGTTTCAAGAATAAGATTTAAAGGAAAATATCTTCATACAAAATGACATTAAGAGACTGGGACTGAAACTGACAAACAAGAAAATGTATGTAGAATATCCTGGAACACTAAGCATATTGGCACTTCACGTAGTTGAGGAGGTATCCTTGTGTGCTTGGGTTTTATGGATTTATGGGGCATTTTTATGTTGTCAATTGCCTGTTATTTTTCTATCAACTTAAATTTTATTTTGAAATATTACTTTGCATATGAATGTCTTGCATGGATTTATCGTTAAGTAATATTTAGTGTGCACTCTATAACTTGGCAAACGTTTTGGGTAATACTGGACCACAAGGTCATATAACAGGGTTTCTCAAGCTGGGGGCAGGACCCCTCATGGGGTCGTGAGGTTATTACATGGGGGGTCGCGAGCTGTCAGCCCCCACCCCAGACCCCGCTTTGCATCCACCATTTATAATGGTGTAGAATATATTTAAAAGTGTTTTTAATTTATAAGGGGGGGGGTCGCACTCAGAGGCTTGCTATATGAAAGGGGTCACCAGTACAAAAGTTTGAGATTCACTGCCATGTAACCACTATAATATCAAAGTACTGTTCTTTCTAGTTGATTTGTGAGAGATCACCCATAGAAATTGCTAATTAACCCTTCACAATATAACAACAAAAAAATTGAAACTGGAGTATTTTCACTCATAAAAAACAATATTTTTTATATTTCACCCCCAGATATGTTCTTGCACAAAGAAAGTATTGGAAGCCATATTTCAGAGTTTAGCAACGTCTACAGAATATACAGCTGTCAAATTTATAACAGAAACACTGATGTAAAAGCCATTGATAATATTTTAAACCAGGTACAACTCCAGGATAAAAACATAGAGCACTTTCATCTTCAGAGTGCTTTACAAATACTAACCATCAACACCTAGAAATAACTATATATTATTCCCATTTTACAGATAGCAAAATTGAGGCGCAGAGGTTGACTCTGTTCATGACATGGGAGGAGTCTGTGACAGAATCATAATTAGAGCTTGGTTGTTCCTGGCAATCACTATAAAACATCAATAGAGGGGAAGGAAGTGATCATACCGTATTTTTTTTCCCTATTCTGTCATTAGAGCTGCTAGTGACAATATTGCATAGCTTGAAAAACATTTTCAACAGTGGTTGGGCTGAATAGCTCAGATTTTATGAAATAACTCTATTCCCTCCTCCTGCTGGCCCATAGTGGTGTAAATCCCTGTTTGTTCAAAGTGTTGTGAGTGTATTAGTATAACATATGCACAGGTACAAAAAAATTCATTTTAAATTACACCCTCATTGCTTTTGCTTCTTATTCCTCCTTTTCTTTTTGTTTACTGTATTTTATTTATAGGTGTTGATTTTAAAATCAAAACAGTAGAGCTAAGAGGAAAGAAAATTAGATTACAAATCTGGTAAGTAAAACAAAAATGCAACCAGCAGTATGTTTTAATTTTTGTGTTTCTAGCATGGATCAATATGCTTGTTTAATATGATTAATTGTTATAAGCTGGTTTAGCTCTTATCCTTCTGCTCCTTCCCTTACAAATCTGTTAGCCATTTATTTTTTTTCAAGAGCAAGAGGGGGGATGATGGATGATGTAATAAATGTAATATTACTGTGCTGACACAAATATGCTTGTGTTACAGAGGTGTCAAAGCCTTTCTTTAGACAAACAAAATAGCATAGGAGTAAACAAACCAACCAACCCCCAAATCCAAAAGTTATAAAGATGATCACCCACTTTCTTCATAGTAAACATGAGGAAGCTACTAGAAGGGAAGGAGGGGAAAAATACCTCTAGTTTCAATTTCATTCACTCATATGGAAATCACCTCAGTTATAACTGCCATCCTAGAGTAAATGAATCTATTTAGCCTTTTCTGAATTCTTTATCAGAAATTTCATATAGTAGGTGCTCTTTCTGTGACATTACATGTAACAATGTAATTACAAGTAAAACACTAATTTACAAACAAAAAAAGTATGTGTTAACAGTTATGGTATTAATGTCCTCCTGTGAAAGTTCAGTTTGGACTGCACATTTTTTCTGTTCAGGGCAAGGTTACATACTTCTTGGTAAGAATTGCTCAAGTGACTTTATTTATCAATAATGATAGTACAGTGCATTCAGTTAGAAATTGTTAGTCCTGAGAGATCCCTTATGATGCACAATAGCATGATACAAATCACAGTTAGGAGAGAGTAAACCAGCTATGTTAATGTAGATTCTAATCCTATAAATTATCTAATAGCTTTGGTGTATTAACAGTGCTTGATGCATAATTGGCATTAGAGATCAATTGTTATAGATGCTAACAACCCATAGAAAAAGCATATCAAAGCACATAGGTTGTCGAAATGACACCAGTGGGATTTTCTGGTAGTATTCCATTTTTAATTACATAGATGAAGTGAGTTTAGCTTACTAACGCCTCTTGGCAGGTCACCATCAACTCTGTTTGTTGCACCATGTGTTTGTCTTGCTTCCCTCTGAGTTAACTGCTGCTGCATCTTTGGTATCATCAGTCATCTAACACTTGAATATTACTGGCATGTCTTCATCCCTCATCTGCGTCCCTGTTTGGAAACCTATGACTACAGAGCTGGTGGTTGAGCCACCACTGTTAGCCAGGGCCTACTGAAGCTGACAGAGGTAATGCAAATTTTTTATGTCAAGATGTTGTTGTAGCACTGAATGTGAAATGTATATAGCTTGTCAGACATGCTCTTAATGTTGAATAAATGTTTTATGGCATCAGTTTTTTGTCAGAAAAGATATCCTTAAACTCCTTATCATTCACACTTATTAAGAATATCTTTGTAGACTTTTGTTTGAAAGTATAATTAAAAAACAAAGGTAGAGGGATATTAAAGTGTGGCCCTTACTCAGTTGCTGAGGCATGCCTAAAATGGTCATGTAGCATGTAATTTAATGTAGAAATGACATACATAAGAATTGGCTAAGTATCTGAATTTATACCAATATACGTCAGTTATTACAAGGAAGCATCAATACACATAGTCCCAAAGTGTCTTTCTCCTTGATTCTCACTATTAAAATGTCTTTGCTGTAATTAACCCTTACTTAAAAAAATAAAGCAATCTCTGGACATACATATAAAATCATGTTGGAAAACACTTGTTATATTAGCAAAGAGAAAAGATAAATTGACAGTTGTTTCCTACAACACATTCTCGAGTACTTTGCCTGCCTGTTTATAAATTGCATTAAAAAAAAGTACATTGCAAGAACATTAAGGTTGCAAAATCAAGCCCCCTTGTGTGTATGCATTATGATACAGTCTCTTACTATGTGATCACATACTATTTTTTTTCCTACAGGACCCCAGCCTTATTCAGTGAATTGGTAGCAGAGGCAACACATAACTATTGATTGGAGGGGTGGCACAATTTAAAGGGTTGGGAGGGGCACTGGATCTAGAACACTTTGTCTTTTGGTCTAGAACAGAGGTTTTCAAGCTGGGGGCGTGCTCCCCTAGGGGGGCGTGGAGGAATATTCGAGGGAGCGAGCAATAAGTCCAGGTGGCTCAGGCCAGCCCCACGTGGTGGGGCTTAGGGAGGGATCGCTACCCGCCACCTCCGCCCCCTCACTCATCTTAGAAGCTGTAGCTAAATGGAAGACACGTCAACTCCCACTTCAGTGTGAGGGGGCAGTTTTCCCTGTGTAGAGCTCCTGCACTGCTATATGAGTGGGAGAGCGGCTCCTGCCCTGGAAACAGCCATGGGGAGTTCACCTCAGGGTGGTCTGCAAAGTAGGCAGTGGGAGGCACTGGGACTCCAGCAGCAGGGAAGGAGAAGCAGTCCCATGTAGCAGGAGGTGGGAAAGGTCAGCCCCCAGCCAGCTGCGTGGATACATGGTGCGGGGGAGCTGCTGCTTCCTCACTGCTGGGCCTCCTGGCAAGAGGCAGCCCAAGGCCTTGCCCATTTCCGCCCCCCCCCCCCCTTGGGGCAGAGTGTGCAGCGGCCTCTCTGGATGGGTCCCCCTTGTAACATTTAGCTGTTGCTAAATGGAAGGCAGAAATCTGGGGGAGGGCATGGGACCTTGTGTGCCCCCACATGTGTTGTCTCTGATTGGTAGTTTGTTGTCTTTTTTTTTTTTTTTTTTTATCCTCCTTGTTTTGTGTGTGGCCACCAGCCTTGTTAATGCGGTTTCCAAACCCTGCACTGACTAAAGAATTATTAATTTCATCCTGGGTGTTTCTATGGTACTCTAAGTGTCTTAAATGCTTCACAAATATTAATGAATTTTTCTTTACAATACCAGCAACCTAATTCTGCCAATTCCTAGCTTTTGAATGTTTGATTTTGTAACCTTAATGTTCTTTTAGCATAGGATTTTTTAATACAATTTCCTACATTTAAAAAAAACTGAAAAAACAAAAGTTTTATCATGTGGAATCATATTGACCTCCAACTTGGGTTATCAGTAGGTTCAGACCTTCACATCTACAGCCATAGACCTCTGCCACTTGGCCTTATGGAATAACTGGTAGCAGTAGTACGTTGAATATGTGGATCAGGCATTAGAGGCAGATGACATACACCCTTTGCCAGTGGGTTTCACAGTTATTTGCTGACAGCAGAGGAATGTGGAGACGGAGAACTTCTTTATTTCTCCCTTCCTCTCATTTCTCACCCCCTGCATCCCACTCTGACTGCATCCTCCTTCTCTTCCTTCCTGCCTGGGCATGAGCAGAGTGCCGGAGGGAGTGTCTCCCTGGTCTCAATTCTGGTGCCTGAAACTGTAGTGGCCCCCTCAGCTGCAGAGAGGAGCAGTTGCAAGGAAAATACTGCTCTGTCCATACAATCCTGAACTGGGACATGCTCAGTCTATGGAAATGGTGTTATATGTAGTCCAGTCAGTGCACAGATGCTGTGAGAAGATGGAGTGTGCCCACTGCAAATGGAATCTTCTGGGAATTTAGCTGTCAAATGCTATGAGTATCTACTGAGCATGTGCAAACCGTGATTTTTCAGATTTGGGCAGATTTTCACCCAGTCAGCAAAAGGCACATCCCTGACATCTGTGCGACCCCTCTGCCAAATTTCAAGTTTCTGCTCCAGTGGATTCTAGACCTGCTCAGTAAAATAGCTGTATGATTTTTTTTTTAACATGGGCAAACATTTCCCCCTAACCGTTTTCTTCTAGATGGCTGAACCATATTAGCTGAAATGTCCCCCAAAAAAGTTCAGCCTGGGCAGACACCCAGCCTGATAAATGTTAGCCCAGATGGTTGCTTTGGCAAAGTTATAAGCAACTGAAAATGGGGTCTTACTATGGGAAGGATCAGGCTACCAGCTCCACCTATAATGATCATAGGCTTTCATCACTTCCCTTGGAAGGCAAATCCAGAGGCTTAGATGTTGGGGACTGAAGGGGATTATGGTAGTCATGAAACCTTCAGAATCAGGGTCTCATGTACAAACATAAGTTCCCCACCTTGAAGAGCTCACAATCTAAATTGCTCTTAAGAAACTTTTCTTGATATATAGTCTAAATTTTTATTTGCAGTTTCACCCATTACACCTATCTGTACATCTGCATGTGCCACACTGTACAGTTCCTTTTCATCCTAGGTGTAAATTTAAATAATTATCCTGTCTTTTCACACAGCCGCGTTATATGTATTTAGTGAAAATGAATAATTATTACACACTTGGTAACTAGCCATTTCATATTCCTTATCCTGTCCACAAGTGTTGGGTTCAGCAGGTGAATGTGTGGAGTAGACAGTAAGAGAAGTAGAGCTGGCTGAAAGGTGAAAATAAGAAATTTCTTCCCATGGAAAAAAAAAATTTCATTCCAAGTCAGAAAAAAACCCTCAAATGTGTTGGAGTTTGTTTTGATTTGGTGGGGGGGGGGGAAATTTCAGAAAAACTCCTTTTGGGAGAACTGAAATGTAAATTTTCAGCTTTCTGCCTGCGCACATGGAGGGTGAGTTGTGGGCTTCCTGGGAACCAGCCAAGCAGGTTGCCAGGCAGCCCAAGAAGCAGGAAAGCCTGAGAGCTGGCCAGGAGTGGAGCAGGGTACTTAGGCAGCTGACAAGCCAGGTAGGTGGGAGAGCAAGCTGGCAGGAAACCAAGCAGTTTTCTAACAGGTCAGATTCCATAAGTTTTTGATTGAATTGACCTGGTCAGTGTTGCTTCTATTGAATCATCCTGTTTTGATTAGAAAACTGTTCCATCAGAAAACTTATGGCCAGCCCTAAAGAGAAACCATGTGCTGAAAATACTTCAAGATGCTCATAGAGTTATGTAGGTATGAAAATAAACAAGCTATGATGTAACATAATTAAAACTTATCAGCCTATTCTGGGTTTTGGGGGGGGAGGAGATGCTCATTGGAAAAAAAAAATTTTCTTTGTTTTCATATGAACCCAATACACCACT